TACATAAATTACACTGATGAATTTTTTTTTTTTGAAAGTTTTGATTGTTTTTGTGGTATTATTACAATACATACATTCTTCATAATACAACAGTTTTTTGGTTTTCGTTCATATACAATTCGTGACTTGTTTGCTGATTTGACATAAACTATTAATCAAATTGTATAATTAAATAATCTTGACTTTAGCATAAATTGTTGAGATAGTTGGTATAAGTGTTTGGCATGTATGTTTTCCGTGAAATGTATAATGTTAGTGTTTTAATGTCGTCCTTGATCTTTAAAACCTCTGAAAAGGAAAAGAGTTTTGTTATATCTAATCTATAAAACGTAATACTAATTTAATAATTTTATATTACTTCTGCATATTCAATGTTCCAACCAATGATATTTGGGTTGGATTTTAGGATTATCCATCATTTGTAAGTTCGAAAATGTTCTTAATTATTTATTAGAACCAATTAAATTAATAAAAATATGAAAATCGAAGAATCAAGCACCATTCAACACTTATATGAGACTTAGTGGGTTAGCTAAAAGAATGTAAAACCTCTGTTTTTCATATTTTAACTTCATGTATTTGTATTAATAAAAAGATATAGCAAATTTATCTAGTATAATTGGTTGTGATTCTTATCTTTGTCTAAATAGACCTTGGTTCAAATCTCGATAAATAATATTTTTTATATGAAATAAATAATCGTGAAGAAAAATATTCTTCCTACTTTCATTCTCGTTGCAGGATATTTAAAATGGAGCAAACCAAACTCTTAAAATTATATTATAAATTTTCTGGATTAGGGGTTTTCGATGTTTTCATAATTGGACCAAATGCTGAACCGGAAAAGTTAGTGGTTAATAGTTCAATGATTAACCGTTATAGAACAGTTGGTTAACCGTCGATAGAAGTGTTCATGAGATACAACACAAGATATGTATCACTAATTTAGGAGTGAATTTATTACCTTAAAGTTTTTCCCTTGATTTTTCGTGGTTAAAATAGTGAACCAGTGGACCATTCAAATCGGGGTGGTTCATCTGGTTTCATGTCAAACCGCTAAAAATAGTTTGATTCTCCTTAAAAGTCCAATCAAATGAACCGAACTGCTATTATAACTCGTGCTAGTGAATGGCTAACTTGTTAGGGGTGTAACCGATAATCGAATCGGAACCATGGTTTACGGTTATACCGATAACCAATTAAATAGAAGAATGTTAGGTTTCCGGTAGTCAAATTTAGCTAATTAATAACCGACGGTTAAACGATTAACCGACTAACCGATTACGACCATCCTCATAGTTAAGACTGAAAATAATAGGCCTCGATGAGCCGCAAGCATATGAAAAAATTAGTGGAATGTTTGAAGGGATACAAATCACTTGCCTACTCTAATTGTAATAATGACTTAGATTCAAATGAGAATAATTTAAAGAACGACTTTAGAAGGAGCACGGTAGAAATTTGGACTTTCGCACAATAGCTCAATAACAATCAGTAACATTTAAACTTCTATGTAATTTGGTGGGTTTATGAGTTGATTAATTGTTGTTGGTTATCTTACTAATTATTTTTCTCTGCTTCTTAAATCAAATTTGACGATAGAATGGTGTTATTGCGTACTTGCGTTGGATTAAGTTGATTATGGATTGATATTTATTTAAATTATTTTTTCAATGATAATAAATTAAAAAAGAACAAATACGAGATGTTAGAAAAAATCTACAAAAACGAACAATTGAAAAAAGGAGGAGGTCATCTATTGGTTAAGTTACCGATTGGTCATTTTGGTATAATCTTGCCGAATCACTTGGTTAACGATTATCCGGTTAAGCGACAAAATAAAAAATAATCGACTACACGATTATGGTTAATCGACTAATATAAACGGTATGGTTAACGGTAAGCACAAAATGCTTAATGATTAACCGAGAACCGAATAAATAGTTCCAATCATATTCGAACCGAACCAATTATCCGTTCTAATTATAACTGGTTTAGTGGTTCTACTGGACCAACCTTTGATCCAGTCCAATTCTTGTAACAATGGTTTCCCCCCTTTTTTGTTAGCTCATCCTTTCGAAATTATATAAAGATAAGAAAGCAATAAAATAAGTAAAGAGAATTTTATGAATTACTAGTTTTTAAAAATTCTAATATGTTATAAATTACACATGACATAATAACATAGAAGATTTCACTATTGTAAATGATATTTCACCTAGAATTATCTATAAATAAGAATTTCACGGTATTGAGATGACTAATAAATTACGCATGACATATGACATAACATATTTACTCTAGTTAATGACATTTCACCAAACTTATATTTTTATTTGGCCATGTGGCAAAAGAAGATCTTAACTAATGATTCGTTGAAGAAAAGGGATGGTCATTTCCCATTAGATGTATGTTATGCAATGCCTCAAGAAGATGCAAACATCATGAGCGGTAGCGACGACACCTGACACCCACGACGACATGCCCCATTTGTGACGAAGGACCCGAGACAATGCTATATGTCCTTCTAGACTTCCTAAGCGGTAAATTCACGAAGACTATATGCAGATCATGGGAAGATTCGTTCAAATAAGGAACTTGATAATGAACATTACAAAAACATTCAAAATATCCCAACTCAGAAACTACATATCCTAAACAGTGGTGCACAAGATCTACATGATGTTTGTTGGCCAATATGGAAGGAAAGGAATGCCAAAATCTTTCAGGACTAGTCATGTCCACCACAATTTTTTTGCTACAAAGTTGTTTAGATCATCACAAGGTGGACATGATCATAGTAGAAGGGTGGCTATCAACTATCAAAAGGACTTTGTACATAGTTTTGAGAATTAACAAAGGTTGTATGTATGTATGTATGTATGTATGACTATAGGATTAACGGTAGCAGTAGTATATAAAGGATATAAGCAACGTGCTTGGTGAATGAGAAAGCCCCTAGAGTTTTTAGTAATACAACATACCATCTTTGATGCTACTACTACTAGAAGTATGCTAGTGCTAATAGGTTTGGAGTTAACCCTTCTGCTCCTAACAAAGAGCCAATTATTTATGTGCATGACGGAAAAGCGATAGTTCACGAATGTTGTGATCAAGAATGGACGATATTGGATTCTTGTACTTTATTGGGGTGTAGCTACTACTCTGCGTCAGAGGATGATCATGTCTATCTTGAGAATGCTAATAGCACTTTCTCCCCTAATCTTCCGATGAATAGCCACGATATTTCATTTTCTCAGGATAACTTGTCTGATAGAGCCAGGGAGGTCATTATTGATTTTCAGGCTATTGGCCATAAGTTGACCTTTACTGTGCATTGAGAAACTTATGTGTGTCTTTAGTTCGATCCTTATTTCAAGTTAGAGATTTCAATGGGGAGTGCTTTAAATTTATACTTGAAAGATATCACACTAAATTGAAGTGAAGGACGAACAAAGCAAAGAGGTATTGGAAAGTTAGTGTGTTTATGCTACAACTATATGTTTTGATGAAGAATTGGTGGAGCAAAGGAGGAGGACCCGATGAAATGTTTGCTACATTGTTGGAAGTTGGCATTGGATGTCAAGGAGGAAGATGCGAGTGAAGTGGAAATGATGGTGTAGAGTCATCTAGGCTCGGATTTCTAATGTTTAGCTTAGCTTATAATTTTTGGTTACATGTTATTGATGCTACTGTAAGTGCAACTTATGATGTTCATTTTCTTAACTTCTCTATCTTGGTAATAATAATAAAAAATATATCACCATTATACAAAATAAGAATTCTTGTATCGATATGGACCGAAAGTAACATTCATTAGGGCTGGTAAACAGTCGGTAAACGGTTAAACCGGTTACCGTTTGACCGATTACCGGTATACCGGAAACCAATACACCTCTGTCGTTTGCCGATACAGAATAATTTTTGATAAGCCGATTACCGAATGGGATGGTATCGGTTGTCATCCCGGTTACCCGTTTACCGCAAAATGGAGAAATTAGTGCTGCAGCTTGCGGAAATGGTAACTTCGCAGCGCAAAGTGGCAAGGTTCATGATTGCAACTCCAAGTCCCACCGACCCAACCTATAAATAAATGAAAAAAAACTCTTTACACTTGTTCCCTGTCGGCTGTAAAACACCCTGCAAAAACAAATTAATTAATTAACTCATAGTGCTTCTTTGCTCGGCTGCGACACATACACATTGACACGGCTGCTCCTGAACTCGGCTATAATAGACACACAACCAATGAAATTGATGAAACTGTGAAAGTATGAAACAATTAACAAATCAACGTAAAGTTACCTCAATCGACAGATATTCGAACAGCGAAAATGACGGGGTTCGACGGAAAGAAGGCCACGACGAAGGGGGTCGACAGAAACAGAGCCCCGCGGAGAGGATGAGGCACCGTACTGCTGGGTCGTGTCTCGTGGGTCGAGCTTGCGTCAGTAACGGAGACGACGAAGATTCTGCCTGTTTTGATGTGATGGCGTTTGGATGCGATGAAGGAAGGAGGGATCCGCGACGTGACTCGTCGTGCGCCAGGCGGGGGAGAGAGCGATGCATAGCAATTAAGTGGTCTAGGTAAATTACTTATGTCTTAGACTTAGGTAGGTTTGAGGCATTTAGGCGGCCGACATTTACTTGATGACCTTTCCCATTCGGTGTCGGCAGACCGACCCACCGACGGTATTTTACCGTTTCTATCTCGGTATACCGCTTCCCACAATCCCGTCTCCGAATACCGTTTTGTACGGTTAACGGTTTAACCGGTAACCATGATTACCGGTACGGTTACCGGTTAAACCGTTAACCCTAATACCGTTTACCAGCCCTAACATTCATGTACCGTGATGACCAAATAATAAATGTTCAAAAGTCAAATTCAACTTCTTGCCTTTAGTTTCTTTGGATAGAATCTTGCATTTAATTTTTGAGATGGAAGTGAATTAAATGAAAGACTAAAAAAGAAAACTTTAACGATTCACCCCACAATCACACATGGTCGAACACCTAAAACCAACCGCCAAAAAGGAATGAGGGAAAAAATTCAACTGAAAGAAAAAGAAAGAGAAAGGCAGGGAACCCTAGGCGCAAATCAAATCAGTGGAGCGGAGAAAGCAAAGAAAGGCAGAGAGGGCATTTCCCCAGAATTTGAAATTAATCAGAGGCTGAGGCATTGAGAACACAGAAAGAGAGATTGGCAATGGCAGAGGTTGGGATTATATAGATAGCTTCACATAATCTCTCCCTCTAATCCGCTCTCTTTCTCTCCCAAGCTCTGCCTCCCTTTTTCCTTCTCTTCCTTTCTTGTTCGACCTTTCCGCTAATCGGAGTCTCTCAGAATTTCTCGTTTCCATGTCTAAACGGTGATTACCCAAACTCCTTTTTTTTCTCTTTTTTTCCTTCGTCTGGTGGCAGCTCTTTTAACTATCATCTTTCACGATTATTATTGTTTCATTCATTTTATTATTTTCCCCTATTGGAGATGACATTTTGTTGTACACTTTATTTATTCATGAATTGCATTTCTTAGTATCATTTCTCTCATTTCTGCTAATTTTGTTGATACATTGTATTGATTTCAGGGTGTTATGCAAGTTTTTTGCACATGGGGCATGTTTGAAAGGGGAGCACTGTGAATATTCTCATGACTGGAATTATCCATCAAGCAATGTCAGTATGAATAATATACTAATTTTTTATGGGCATCTTAGATAATTGTCATATTTTAATGCATTTACTTCCTGCGCAGATTTGCACCTATTATCAGAAAGGGAAATGCTCTTATGGAACTCGGTGCCGATATGATCATCTTAAACCTTCAAGGCTACATTTTGGTGCTTCATCTTCTACTAGTATTCCTTTTGGGAATACAAGGTTCGGAGCCTATCCTATTATGAAAGCTCGTATTTTGCCTTCAGAGCTCTCCCCGGGAAGTAGACCTTTTCTTCCATCTAATCATCCAACACGAAATTTGGAACCTGGGAAATGCGACGTCTTTGATGGTACTATAGAGCTGAAAAATCTGAAACTACCATCTGATCGTCCGTTATGCTGTTATGCGGCCACTGGGAACTGCCCGAGAGGAGAGCAATGTCCTCACATTCATGGTGACTTGTGCCCTAACTGTGGGAGGCATTGTTTGCATCCTTTGAGGCCCGAGGAAAGAGAGGAGCACATGAAAACGTGTGAGAAAATGCAGAAGCACCTTGATGCGTTGAAGCACAGTCAAGAGATAGAATGTTGCGTGTGCTTGGACAAAGTGTTGTTCAAGTCGACGGCGGCAGAACGTAAGTTTGGTTTGCTCTCTGAGTGCGACCATCCATTCTGCATAGGGTGTATCAGGAATTGGAGAAGCAGCTCGCCTACCCCTGGAACGGAACCCAGTTCAATGTCCAGGACGTGCCCAGTATGCCGCAAGCTATCCTATTTCGTGGTTCCTAGTGTGATTTGGTATTCCTGCCAAGAAGAGAAGACGGAAATCATTGACAACTATAAGGCAAAGCTTAGGCAAGTTTTGTTTCTTCTTCTTTTGGAGTACTTTTTCTGCATTGAACCAATTTTTATTGTTTATCATAATCTTTTTTTATGTGTGTTGACTCTATTTTATGATTAAGAAGAACTAATATTTATATTTCCATCTTGTAGTTCAATAGATTGCAAACACTTCAACTTTGGTATTGGAAACTGCCCGTTTGGTTCCAGCTGCTTTTACAAGGTAAATCATATATTCTCTTATTTGTAATTTTAGTATTTTTGTATATATCAACCAATTAAGGCAAATGCTTTTGATAATATTACTTTGTGGAGTTATTATGTTGTTTATTTTGACATTAAATATTCATCCTAGAGCATCTAATTTGTAGCATGGATACAAAGATGGGCGTCTAGAGGAAGTGGTTCTCCGCCATCTTGGTTCTGAAGATGGGCACACAGTCATATCTAAAAACATCAGGTTAGGTCATTACTCTCTTACCTTGTTTGTTGCTTGCTCTGAGCTATCATACATGTTCTTCTAATGGATTGTCTGCAATACATTTTTTAGATTGTCAGATTTTCTTGGAGGACTCCAAATTAGCTGAATGTGTTGTTGTGCTAGATATTAATTACAGTGTAAGATCATCCATCTACCTTACAAATACAAACATTAATGTGCGGGATTGGAATTGTATGGACACCATTGGTATGAGTTTGCTCATTGTTATTTGTATATGCAGGAGTACCAATATGATAAGAATACTTACAAGTCTGCAAAGGTCTCCAATTATGGAATCGAGACAATAGTTTTCTTCAAGGTACAAACTTGCATGTTACATTATTCATTCGTCCATAACTAATTGTTGTGAACCTAACATTGTTGACATCATTGGTCGATGCAGAGTGTCTTATTACTAGAGGTGCTCTTCGTTTCGCCATAGAATCTGCAAGGGGCATTGTACAGTTTGCCTATTTGTTAAATAAACTTCCATCCACCCACCATTTTGCTTAGCTAATAATGAGTGTTGTAACAAGAAAAGAGCACAGAGGATGGCTAAAGAATGGCCCTATACAATAGATAATGTTTCTTAGCTTGCTTGATTGAAAGAGACTGAAAATGACTTTGTATAAGATAGAAAGATTTAATTGTTAGTGTTGGTATTGTGTGTGCCCAAATTGACATAATAATCTACTTATGTCTTCTTTGGGAAATGTTAAGATAGAAAGACGAAATTCATTTTCTTAACACAAGAAACAAGTATATATATATATATATTTTGCATTATAATTGAGTTAATATATTTTAACTATGTCGATTTCTTTTCCTTTCAGTTTTATCTCGTACTTTTATTTATTTCCATTTGTTTCTTTTTACCATCATGGTATATTTGTAACAGGTAGGGTTTCACTTTTACTAAAATATTTTTAGTAAAAAGAAAAATTAAATACATTAAAAAGCGAAAACATCATATTGAAGAGAACTCAACTCGAAAATTTGAAAGATCAACACAACTCGAAACATTTGACTTCGTAAATGTCTTTCATAAAACTGCATGAAGTCCCACAACGTACTGCTCTTAATTAATTTTATGTAGCCATCAATCTCTGTGACGATATGTTGATTCTTGAGTGTGCTTCTACAAATCCTGAGTGCGGGCGTGAAGTTAGTCATAATCCTAGGTTCCATTTTACATGGCAAGGAAATAAATCCAATATAATCCTAATGCATATGTGGTTGCAATGCTCATGCATTGAGATGTTTACTTGAGTTGAAAATGATTTTCTTGGAAAGTGGCAGTGGCGGACCCAGAAATTTTACATAGGGGTGTCCTCTTTTAAAAAATAAATTAAATACAAATAATTCTAAATAATTAAAAAAATATTTAAATAAGAAATACCTTACTCATACAGTCATAAAAAATTCACGATGTGTTTTCATATTAAAAAATGATTGTAAAACACACTTGGGGTCTACACTGTTCAAAAAAAAAAAATGTAGCCTAATGGAAATTATGTTTATTAAAATTGTAGCCTAAATCTAAAAAAAATTGTAGCCTGCACAGTGTTTAAAATAGAATAACATATGAGTTGTAGCCTAATGGAAATTATGTTTATTAAAATAAAGTGTCATAGGTTTGAATTACCCAAACATTCACTTATATTCTAATACTCAAACTAAAAGATGAGAGTAGGATAATCACTTTTTTAGATTTAGGGGTGTCCCCGACTATCAATTATAATTTTTTTGTCATTACGTAAATTATCATCGGGGGTTGGATAATCGTTTTCCCAAAATTTAGGGGTGTCCGGAAACACCCCTAAACACCCGTGGGTCCGCCCCTGGAAAGTGGTCCGAGTTCAACTTAAGTGGTACATTACATCGGTCACCAAAATGTGACATAACTTGTAATAGGATTTTCCCCACCCGGTAAACATGATATCGCATGCTCTAAAAGGTTGTGGGGTACCTCATAACATGATCTTCTTATTACCAAGGGGTAGGTTTCGTAACCTCTCCTTATTGCCCAGGAGTAGGGTTCCTATATAAAGACTCCCTCATTATGGGGAGTGAGGTGACTGTGAGTTGCTAATTAAACAAGAGGTCAAACATGATCGTACTTATAAAAATAAATATATTTTTTGGACTAAACTTGCACACAATGTGAAGATATTAGCCAACATACTTTGATAATGTGACTTGTTGAAGCAATGATATGCTTGTAGAAATTGAAGAACGTAACATAGCATGCACTTAACATAGAGCTCGTATGCACAGTCTTAATCATAAGAACTTAATTTCAATGACATAATGCAAATGCTTAAAGGTAAATCAATTAAACAACTACCCGAATTACTAACTAATCCCCTAACCTTGCTCAATGCTCACGTCTGTTAACCTTACTCATTATTTCCTTTAGTGGCCATGCCAAGTGTGGGGTGTGCAACGGTTCGGTTCGGTCCGGATCGGACCAAACTCATGAGAACCGCGGTCCATTAGTGAAAGACATGTTAGGACCAAGGACCGGACCATTCTTGCATTTGGTCCATTTGGTCCGGTTCGGTCCGGTCCAAATATGAGCTCTGTCCACCATTTCTTCAGTAATTATAAAATTCATAAGGACCAAGGACCGGACCGCATTTTACTCGGTCTGGTCCGGTCCGGTCTTAACAACGGTTTGGTCCGGTGTGGTCCGGTACGGACCGGACCATTGCACACCCCTATCCAAGCCCGTTCCTCCCCGTTGGAGTCCTCCATTTGATCACCTTATGCTCAATGCACCGCCAATGCATAGTTCCACCAACGACACTGATCCATTGATTCTCCTCTATAATAGTTGCAATGGACAAGGATTCATCTGCGTGACTTGTCTTCCTTTTCTTAACCAACGCCAAAGTTAATTCCTCGTTCCACTTGTAGCAGGAGATTAAACCTTAATTATCCATTGATATAACTAACCCTTTTCTAATTCTTATTCTCACAACTAATCCTCCACTTTAATCAGAACCATGAACACGTGCATGCATCACGTCTTCTCCACACCTAACCCACCCAAAACACCATTATTCCATTAATACAAGTGAGGAAACTAAATCCTCAATAGCTATCTGATCATATTCTGACCTAAACCTCCACCTCTAAACATGTAATTCACGTAAACCCCCACTCCAATTACTATCGCAAATCCAAGCACTACGCCACGTATTTCCATGTAGATATATCACATGATTAGAGGTGGCAAATGGATTGGATTGGTGGATTTGTGGATTGGATTGGTGGTTCCATGGATCAAATGGATTGGATCTAATGGATTGGTGGATTCATGGATTGGATCAAGTGGATTGGTGGATTATCCATGAATCCAAATGAATCCTCAACCAAGGACCAATATGTAAAATGTAAAAAGTTTAGGTACTAAAATGTCACAATAAAAAAATTTAGGTACCAAAACGTAATTTTCTAATGATATTTTTCGTATAAAAAATTAAATTTTAGGTACCAAAATGTAAAAAATAAAAATTATAGGTACTAAACCGTAATTTGCCAATGATCCATGGATCCAATCCATGAATCCAATCCATGAATCCACCAATCCAATTGGATTTGGATCAAATGGATTGGATTTAAATGGATTGGATTAGGTGGATATTTTTAATGGATTGATGGATTGGATTGGTGAATTGGATTGAAATTGCCACGTCTACACATGATTAATCATCATCGGTTCGAAACAGCCCGACGGGAAGTAGATAAGGTCATGAAATCAACTCAACCATGAGAACCCAAATTGACCAGTTGAAGAAAGGATCCGAAACAGCCCGACGGGAAGTAGATAAGGTAATGAAAAAGTTTATTTCATTCTGCACGCCATATTATGACAAATTATATTATCATATCTTAGGATTTCTTGAACATAATGTGACAAACCATAAGGTGACGGGGTGTTTTGTCATTCTGTAGCAGTATTTGCGCGGTAAATAAGACATATAGTGACAAAATTATAATGACAACAAAAACTTTGTCACAATGTAACTCTATTATGACAACTTTGGATGACAAATATAACTTTTTTCACATATAGTCAATTAAATGTGACAAGTCTTTTTTTTTGTCATATTTAGTTGCCTAATATGACAAATATTTTATGACAACAAAATTAATTTGTCACTTAAGGTCAAATTTCTTGTAGTGAACTGAATCTACAGAACTAGGTGGGAATTTTAGGGTTAGACTGGGAGCGCCTAGCTAATTAGGGCTAGATGAATGATTTTAGGATTTATTTTAGTGGACGAGGCGACCGAACCCATGCTAGAGGAATGCCTTCCTGAAGGCTGAAACAATGCTAGAGACGATGCAAGCATCATCGATCCATCTCTTTAGTGTGCATGATAGGTTTAACCTATTGAGAGGAACTAGAGCTTATTCCTTAGTACGTGAGCTTTGATCGAGGTGACAATGGGTCTCTGGGAGCATACTAGGAAGAGGCGGAGTAATCATTGAAACCCTTCCGCAGCTTATCCTGCAAACCTAGCACATTTAGCCATTTTCATGAAGATCTTAGATTTAGGGAGAGGGAGTTACCCCAAAGTACCTGCTTTTTATCCTTGCTTTTTCCACCAGTATTTTCAATTGACCTCGACAAACCCAAATAAACAGATCAACCAGATAACAACAACGTGAGAAGTAGCCTAGGGTATCAAAACCCGTGGAATACAACCTTGGTCACCACTATATTAGCAATGTCATTTTGAGTTATACTTGGCTCGAAATGTGGTAGTTAATTAGGCTATGGAAAAAATTGACATGACCCGCACGTGGGTTTGGCCAAGTTTTGGCATCACTGTTGGGGACTCTCGATAACTAGTTGAAAATCATTGAGTTTTTAGTTTAGTCTTGCAATTATGCTTTTATATATATATATATATATATATATATATATATTAGTTTATCTTATTTTCATTTTGTTATCCCACTTTGTACGTCACGGGTATTTGAGTTCTTTGTTTTGAAGTTGATTTGTATGCGAATGAGAGATTCTGTTGATACAATACCACTTGATACGAAGATCGAGAAAACCCTTTAAGATCTTACAAGAATAGTGAGACTTCAAACTCAACCGATGGTGGAACAACAATCATCACAACCTCAACCACAACCACAACCTCAACCTCAACAACCACCGAGGACGAGGACGATGGGGTCATTTTCAAGGCCGAGTGTGGAGAATGTGCAATCACCAATTCGTCACCCTACTATCCCCAACAACAATTATGAGATCAAGCCGGGGACAATTACTATGAATGCGGCTCAATTCCATGGGTTGGTGAATGAAAATGCACACGCTCACATTAAGGCGTTCTACAAGCTTATAAGTCAACGTAGTCCCTCAAAAGGAGATTTGATTGAGACTTTTCCCTTTTACCTTGGGCGGAGCAGCGAAGCAGTGGTTGAATGATCATCCACATCATTCTATTATCTCTTGGGCAGATTTGCGTGACAATTTTTTCGCAAGATATATCCCACCCTCAAAGACGTCATTGATGAGAAGTGAAATACAAACATTTAGACAAGAAGAAGACGAGCCATTATTCGAAGTTTTGGAAAGTTTCACCTCTCTTCTACTCAAGTGCCCACACTACAACATTGTTGATTGGCTTTAAGTGGAAATCTTCTATAATGGTCTAACTCGTGAGTCCCGGAATTTAATTGATGTTGCCAATGGAGAAGCTATTCGGAACAAAGAGTAGGCGAATTGAAAAGGCTAATTGAAGACATGGCTCTCAATAGATATGATTGGGGTGATGGTATGCGAGGAAAGAGTGTAAGAAAAGGTAATGTGCTACAAATTGAAGAACATTCCTCATTATCAACTCATCTTCAAGAATTGAAAACGAAGATTTATTTTGTTGCACAACCATGAAGAACAATAGTAGAAAGTGATGAAATGTGATTGGTGCGGCGATGTGAGTTATAATTTGGAAGAGTGCAAGGCAATGATAGAAGCATCGATTCAACATGAGCAAGCTAGCTTTGTTGGATAACAAAAAAGAGGCAGCAATCCCTATAGTGCTACTTACAACACAGGATGTAGGAACCATCCTAACTTCTTATTGTCTTCACCATCTGATAAGAGACCCCGGTGTTCAAGGGCAAGCACCGATGCAAGCTCCATTTCAAAGGGCCAACCCGTTTTCGAGCCAAGGTTTTTATTTAGATCAAGGTTGAACATCGGATAATCATTTGACAAAGTTTGAAGACTTGATGGGACAATTCATTAACACCACCACAAGAAGGTTTTTTACACCATTGAAAGATTTTTAGAAAATGCCGCAAACAAGTTTTCAAACTTGAAGGCCGGTCAAAGAAATCACTAAGTAACTCGTTTAAACCTTGAAGCACAATTGAGTTCAATGGTTCCATCTCTTGCAACAAGACCTCAAAGAGCTTTACCTGGTAACACGGAACCTAACCCGAAGGAAGGATGCCATGTGGTAACTCTTAGGAGTTGCTGACCATTGAAGGAAGTTCTGAGAACAACACCCCGAGTACATTTAAGGGAAGTTCAAGGAGAAGTTTCTCAAGAAGAGAATAGTGTTGAAGAGGAAGTGATAGTCCCCAAGAAACCTCAAGTATCCGATTACATTCCAAAGGCACGTTATGCTAAGTGATTATTCGAAAGTGACCTACATCATGAATGCGCTCAATGGAAGGATACGCTCAAGAAACTTAAGGTAACCATTCCCTTATTGGAGATTATTATGAAGATTACCAAGTGTACAAAGTTCTTGAAGGAAATCTTATCGGGAAAGAGAAAATTGGAGGAAGTTGATATGGTTTCTGTGAGTAAGGTCGCTTCTATGTCAATTGGTTGTGAAGGCATGCCACCAAACATGAGAGATCTGGGAGTATTCACTATTCCATGTACTTTTGGTGTCAAGATCTTTTGGAATCCTTTAGCGGCTTTGGGTTCGAGCATTACCATTATGCCTATGGGATATGAGGATCTACAAAGAGCTCGATTTAGGACCACTCACTCCAACAAAAATGAAGATTGAACCTTCTGACTAGTCTATTGCTATGCCTTATGGAGTAGTAGAGAATGTATTGGTGAGATGCGCTCATTTTGTTTACCCAGTGGACTTTGTTGTCCTGGACACGGAAGGATGTATCGACACACCGATTATTCTCGAAATACCCTTCTTGGCTATGACAAGAACTATAATCGATGTTAGTGAGAGCCAAATTATCTTAAGGTTAAGTGAGGAGGAGATTCGCTAAAAGATGACTCCACTCCCCACTTTCCACAAGTCTACAAGTGGGCAGATGTGGAGAAAAATTGTGAGCCAGTCACTCTTCCAACAACACCTTCATATATCTAAAATACTTTTGCTCCAAAAAAATATCTGAATGGACGGATAAGAGATTGGTCAAGTGGTAATACCAATAGTCTTGAACCTGGAAGTCCAAAGTTCGAATCCCTTAAGTAGTACCTAATCACTAAAAGTAAACCTATATCTCCCTTATCTAAAAAAATATCAAAATGCATATCATCTTGTAGATCCCAAAGAATCTGATTTTTTCGTGCAAATTTTTTTTTTTTTGAAATTCGACGTAAATTGAATGCGCCATGATTTGTTGAATTTCCGTTTGAGATTTGAAAAAATAAATTAAAACTACATGAAAATCCGCGAACAAATAAAAAAGAGAAGAGGGAACACACAGAACGACCCACACAAAAACAAGACTTAGTCTATTTTTCCGTGCCCAAAATACCCTTGCTCTTCCATGGCCATCAGATCACCCCTACCAATCTCAGCCATTATATTGGATTTTGTAGGTGGCTTCTATCCGGGTAAAATCTAGGGTACGACATACATTGCGTAAGAAAACACTATCTAGACCTCAAATTAATCGGATTTTTAGGTATGATACTATACCATAACCTTTGATGAGTGAACTCTAGGTCTTAGTTAGCTAAACCAAAAAGCCTAACCCCTAAGATTGTGCATGTAATTTTTTGAATATATTTTGACGAATGATAACCATTGATTTTTGTTTGTAATTTAATTGATCTTAGAGTAAGAGATTTATTGAATTAAAACCTAGATTTTAATCTTTACGGGTTTGAGAATAGTACCATATACCAAACTCCGGTCAATGCAAGGTCTAGATATCATTTTTTTACTCAATGTATGATATACCTTTGATTTCACTTAAGGTACGATAGAATCACCCGGATTTTGTAATGCTACAAAACCAATCCTCAGCCATATTCTATTATATTAAGTCAATATCCAATTCCCAATATCCGACCTTCAACATAACAGTCGCCATTTTCAAGTTGACGATGGTGATAGCTCCAATTTATTCGTTTGGATGAGGCATTTTAGTGAGTTATTTGGATCCAAATAACTCATTGGATGCAAATAACTTGTTTGGCAGCATTTTACTTAAATGAGTTGTTTGGGTTGTGAGTTATATACAAATAACTAAAAACGAGTTATTTGAAATAACTCCTACACCTAATTATTTCGAAATAACTCGTTTTGCCTCTCTACTTTTTCCAAATACTACATGTCAAATACCATATGTGCATGGTTCAACCAAACGAAATACTTTAATCCAATTGTCACTAAAATAACACCGAAATATCACATAAACAATTAATGAGTTATTTGACTCTATAATTGAACATGTTGGCACCATCAAATGACGATAATTTAAAGGAATACACTTTTTAAAAAAAACTTATACAACAATGGCACCATCACCAGCAAGAAGTCAACAACAGTATTCATCGGAAAAAAAGTGAACAACAAGAGCTACTAGATGGCTTCAGTAGTGACTTGGATGAGCTCCAAGCCGAACAGATGATGTACAATTTGCAGTGAAGGGTTTCTGTTTTGATGCAGAGGCAGAGGAAAATGGACTGGACTTGCAGATGAAACTTTGCCACCTTGTGGTGACTGAAAGTAGTTGTACTACTAGCTAAAGGGAAGGAATGCTGAGTGATCCAATGTCAAGCACTCTGGGTAGGATCTGCTTGTGAGAATCAGTGGAGATGATCAAATCATCACCGATATGAAATTTTTTGCATATCCTTTCAACAGTGTAGAATCGACTATTACTTGTTAAGCTGACTACTTACCTCCCCTAATCGAGCTTTTATCTTCAAGGGCACAAAATCATCAGCTCGTGTCACACCCAAGTTCACGACTGCTGTAGCAGCACCCTCCTCATGTGCAGCTCTGTCATTTCATTCAAACACATTTATCAGCTTGATGTTGAGGGTTTGTTTAATGAGAAAGATCATCCATGCACTCAATCAAGTCCGCTTCCTGCTTTTTCGCACCAGAATGGTGTTCAGACATTGAGATAAGAGCATTGCATAAACAACGAATCTGGACAAAACCAATTAACTCCTCAATCTAAGGTATCAGAAGAATGGTAAAATGGCAAAGGGATACAGATTCTACTTCACGTTCCAGGCTGTATTTTATCGAGAAGTTGATTATTTGATCTATTGGAACCAGAGCTAACTTGGAGGAGCTTGGCCTCTAGTCAATAAGATTTTACTAGTCTCATTGGCATGCTTTCCATTGGTTATGCGCATTCTAAATTTAAGAATTCAAAACCCCAATCAGCAAAAGAAAAGAGATTAGCCAATTGGCTATGTGCGTGACAACTGACAAGTTATTGTCAGATTCTGCCCTTCCACAAAACATGTACAATTCGCTGTCTCTAATGTGCAGTACATACTACCATACCAGGTTGAAAGTTAAGATACTCCACTCCAATAGATAAACCTACCAAGAGGATGAACATGTAAATGACAACCAAAAGTAAACATAACACAGCGAATATCTGAAGTATATCTACATACTTGATAAGTCGGAAAGCTGACATTGTCATTATCGATGATCCTAGAACCAGGAAAGCATCACACTCCTTTGCAGCTGTCATTGCTTTCTCTGCTCTTTCCTTCGGTACATTGTCACCAAAGAAAACGACCTACGAAATCAGAGAATAGATGCATAATGTTATTGATAACACACATGAATACAAGAATCTGAAACTCATACTGGTGAAACATGAAATACTACATCAGGCTTTAGGACTCCATTGCAATTCTGGCAAGTCGGGATATGGAAATCCTGCTCCCAAAATTTCTCATCAATCTCAATATCACCATCAGGTCTCTGTTTCATGCCAAAGCTCTTATCTGATCCAGGAGCACCACTGTCCAAACTTTCAATTGCTTCGGCCCACTGCAGCAAATAATCTCGCAATTACGTTAGCGCTGGAGGGAACTCAATGGCATGACCACACAAGAACCAACCAGTGAAGAGCACACAAAAAATGCACATTTGTGAACCCAACAGAAAAAATTTACAACCACCCACAAGTAGAACCCCAAACACAACTAAGTGTTGTTATAGCATAGCAGATATTTATCTACATTTTCTGAAACTGCCATAATGTGAAAAGCCTACAGGTGGACATCTACAGAATGCCCCAGCGTCTTTATCCTTTGCATTTAGGTTGTATGTCCAGAAGAAATAAAACTGTGTCGTGTTACCAGAAACGAGAACCTTGGCTTTATTCCATTCTAACAACAAAGACAATATTGTTACAATTCAAGAAACAATTGAATCAAATCCGTCATAAATTATGTAAAATCTCTATTTCTCATTTTGCACTAAAATACAGCATGTAATGTTGAAGAGATTACATATGCTTCGTGGAACCAACCTTTGGATTGAGATCCTTCAACTGTTCCTGAAATAGCTCTCGGCCAAATGAAAAGCCACAATCTAGACAGATCACAGAATACACTGTGCCGTGTATTTCCAATGGGCTGCTCCCAGCACGATGATGCAGTCTGAACATACAACACTAAAAAACTGGCATTACCTCATAAGAGTTTCTCAAACAACAGGGAGAGAAGAGAAACCACTGACCTATCAACATTTTGTGTGACCATGAAATTTATTCTGCCAGCCTTCTCCAATGACGATAAAGCAAAATGAGCAGCACTAGGCTGCGCTGCAGTAAACTGTCTCCAACCGGCATAGCTCCTGGCCCAATATCGCCTACGAGCCCGACTTGAACGAACAAACTCCTAATCACGAGAGGGAAGGCTCTCAGGAGTTGGGAGTAAGAATTACCACAAAGGTCCATGGTTAGGAAAAGAAACATAGTAAGCAAATGAGAAGAGGTTAATCTCTGTATCTATTAAACCAGACAAAACAATTCTCATTTAGTACATATGACTGACACCCAAAACGATTAGAATGTCTAGCTTAGAAATCAAGTCACGTGCTTTCGATCACCTGATGGGTAATTGGTCTGAATCCAGAACTGTAAGCTCCATTTGGACTGGAAAATTGCAATTAACAAGATTCAGAAATGGAACAATCAGTGGACACAAAATTTCTTGGCAGCGGCATGGTGAAGTCGCATAGGGATAAACTGAGAATCGGATATCCTGATTCATGAATGTGCTCTGTCTAGTAAGGATGCAACAGTCGCATCATAGACAGAAGAATTGCCTCAGGGAGAAAATGATGGGAATTACTTATATGTGATAGACAGGGCTAAAATGTAGCCTGGCTTGGAGTAACATCCAAAGGGATACAAGTATAACTAATGATTTCTCCAGGAGAGTACAGGAATTAGATAAAGGGTTCAACGGTTGAACAGATATTGGGTACGTAGAAACTAAGGATTCAGCTAACAGATTAATCAATTGCAGACAAGAGACAGGAACCTTCGGTAATCAGGAATTCCACACTCGGTGCTCATTCCAGCCCCAGTCAGAACCATAAGTTTCTTGCTGCAGCATGATGGAAACCCCAGGGGAAGAGAAATAAGTATGACAAGCTCAAACCAAGTGATGGGAATGAAGCGAGACAATTACACATAAGTAACAGTTGGTAGACAGCTTTGGAATGAAACCTTTGGTCAAAGAACTGATACAACAGATCGACATCTCGAGCGCTGGGAGGATCAGAATCAGGAACCGTCTTCTTGTTCCTCAAAAAGTTAGGTGGGTTCTGGTTTTCAAGAGTTGCAGACGAGGTCCCAGGTACAGTGACACGGCACGAAGTCCGCATAAACCTCGCGCATCCAGGTAAGGAAATGAGCTTTCTACCAGCCGCAACAATGGGTTTCGAAATATGGAAACTTGATTGCAACAAGTCTACAAAAGCAAAAAGGTGAACTGGAGCGTCAGGCAAAGAGATAAAAATGGGACGACGACCGACTAGTAAAGAAGAGAGAAACATTAGCGAGCACCAGGAGGATCGTAATCCAAGCGTGACCCAGCCAGAAGCTTCATTGCACTCTGCATATTCAACTGAAAGAAGCAGCAGAGCGACGGGGAGCGGCAAGCCTATGAGTTCTCAAACGAACGATGGATATGAAGAAGAGATAGTCGCAGAGGAAAGGAACTTACGAGGGAAAAGGAGGACGGGAAACGCCTAAGCATAATGGATGACTGCTCAATGAAATTATTGATTCAGCAGAGGAATCGGAGGTTCCTCGGCAGGCATTGGAAGTACCGCAGCAGCAGCAGGGAGGGACCAGCGAGCATCTGCCGCTCTCTCATGGCACTTTGTTTTTGCTGGCACATTTCAATTTCTCAACCGGTAGTTTCTAATTTCGGCCACGTCACCCACGCTCGCGGTCTCAGAAATTCACCCACCCTATTGAAAACCTGTGGATATGGCGGCTTCTGGATTAATTTGCATCGAGCCGTCAGTTCCTTCGGGCTTACTGGCCGAATTTAGAAGCTCGGGGGTATAATTGTAGCTTTCCCTCTTCTTCTTCCAGGCAAAAACCTTTATCGTCGCTTTCACTGTGGGCTTCAGCTACTCCCTCCACCGAAAGCGGTAATCAATCTGGAAACCGCAATGGCGTCAACGTTTCGATATTGAAGGTGAGAGCCTGAGAGGAGCTTCAGGTCCTTCTCCGGTAGGGAGAAAACTGAATCTCTCACTTATTGGACTGGCCCTATTTCTTAATGGGTCATGGACAAATCTGGTCCAGAACCGCCATTCTGGCTAATGAGGAGTTAAAGCTTGAAAGGTACATGGATCCCCAACAACAAGGGTTCACCCTACTCAAGCCGCCTACTTACACCAAGGTGAAAGGCATTTGTGGCAGCTACCCTTTTTTTGCGAAAATGATTATGCATTCGTCTTCATGTGATGAGATTTTGATTTCTTCGAACATTTTGGGTGATTAAATTAGGAGGAAAAGGCAGGAGCAACTGTTCTGTTTGAGGAGATGAAGAAAGCAAGCAACAATGTTGGGGTTGTGGTGAACCCAGTTCGTCTTAATACCCTTACTGAGTTTGGGACTCCTGAATTTGTTGCTGACAAGCTTATACAAGGGGAAAAGCGCAAGGTAAATGTGGAATCTGGCATTGTGTTTGTTTACAGGGTTGGTGTCTTGACAGAGTCCATGGATGTCAGTTGAAGTTTGTTATTTTGCATTGCGTATCTTGTACATTGCTTAATTACTTGAGCTTTGGCCTATTGCAGTTGAAACTAACTAGTCTCTTAGGCAATGCTGCTCTGGTTTAGCTTCAGCTTTCCCTATCTCATGGATCCCATAGTTGTAGGTAAATGTTGTCACATCGAGAATGAGGGTTAGTGTTCTGAAATATTGGGCATAGAATCATGGAGTTCTGACGGTAAATAGGGGAAATGTTGGTACTTGCTAGCTGTTGCATTGTCAGGTGTATGAAGTTGAACAAATCTAACATGATGTACATGAGAGTACAAAGGAGGCAGAGGTGATTTGGGCGAGGGAACGATCTGGGCGTGGAGGCCTACAGTATGTGAATTTGAGTATAAAGTTGACAGCACTAGAGGAGGGATTAAGAGGATCTTTCTGGCTTCATTCGTGTCCTATAAGAAGCTTTACCTCTTAAATTTTGTACATTCCGAAAACCCAGAGAACCCAATTGATGGTGAGCAGTTCGAGAGGAGGGATTAAGAGGATTCTTCATTCATTTAGCATAGCAGCACCTGTGACATAACTCAGTACTTTTCATCATTGAAACAAAATCTTTTAGTTATGCATTCTTTGGGTTCAATCTTGGCATTCACAGTGAGATAGGTTTATTTTTTACTACTAACGAATTTGTGAATTCAACTTACAGAAAGGAGTTCAAGTGACTTGTTTTTCCCCTTGCTCTGAAGAAGTAAGTTTATACTATTAGAATTTGGGCTTTGGGAACACAGGAAGTGAGGAATAACCAGAAGGTTCCCTGTTACGAACTGTGTTATCCTCAAAACCTCCTCTTGCTAGACTGAGGCTTGCAGTTACATGGCTGAATGTGCAAGGAAACGGTAATGGCTTTCCAAGATGTGTTGATGAGGATGCCAGAGGACTGTTCTTCTCTTTTTAATTTTTCCAGGTAAGCTTTACAGGAGACCCTGGTAATCCCCTAATCATTTGATGTATCCGAATGCAGTAGTTTCGTTCCAAGTGACATGGCTTTTCACTATTCTTTTTCAGAGATGGTTGCTCATCCAGCCCGGCGGATCCATTGTTTATGCGGGTAAACTCATCCACCACTGGTAAAATTTTAGTAAAATAAACAACTTACCCAACAGATGTTAGTTTCTTCAACAGTTTTTGGGATAATAGTTTTCAAGTCTGGAACTCCTAGTTAACGAGTTCCTCCCATTGTACAATAAGGCAAATCATTTAGATTCTACAGATTCACTCTTTTTCCTATTCAAAGTTCAGCCATTTGTCTTTGTGTTTCTACATCTTTGTTTTTTCACATGGAAAATTCTTTGCAGATGAAAAGATGTCAAAGGGGCTTCTTACTGTTCCAAATAGACCCTCCTACAGCTATATATAAACGTTGGTTTATAAAAAATACGCAAGAAAAGCACTTCTGAGTTGTTTAAGGTGATTATATTTCTATATATGCTTGATTTGATCCATATGCCATGCTTCTTTTTCTTATAGTTGTTTAAGAACAAAGATTTTTTTATGTCTCGTTAGTTCCATTGACAGATCCGGGGAATAGATAAAAAGTTATTATTTGTCGCCCGTGGTTTTATTATTTGCCGCCCATAATTTTTGTTGTATTTCGTCAAATTATTTTCTTATGTTTATGTCGGAGGGAGAAGAAAGGATTTGGCAGAGTACGAATTTTTAAGAAAATATGAATTTCAGTGAAATAATTTTTTTGACAAAAAAAAAATCCTGGTGATTGCCGGCAATTGCTATACTTACCAATAGCAGGTAAGTAATAATAAGTAGACCACCCGTTCTATATTTTCATCCTAACTTCGGCTTCATCTGGATGTGGATCCTTGTATGGAAATGGTGGATGTGCAGCAGGAAATAGACAACATGTTCACCTAAAACTTTATAAGAGTTGTCATACCAAACTGTTTCTCGAAACACTATGTTTACTGGTTCACATGGGATGAGGCGTGAGCATTTGAGTCTTGTAACTTGCCTTTGCAATTTGCATCTTAGTCTGACAATTTCGTTCCCAAAGGCGTTTAATATACCTACTCAAATTAAATAAAATACAAAACAGATCCTGTGACAGGAAATCGGATTTAACTAATAATATCCTCTTATTCAGGAAAAAATCTCATTGTACACATGTTTTTAAAAAAAATTCTCAAAATACACACGTTATGAAAATATTTCCCAATCTACGCATGTTTGGGCCTTCACCGCGTTTGACCAAGGCGGTGATTGAATCACCGCGTTAAAGAAGAGCGGTGATTGCATCACCGTGTTAGAGGAAAACGGTGATTGCATCACCGCTGTAGAGGAAGGCGGTGATTGCATCACCGTGTTAGAGGAAAACGGTGATTGCATCACCGCTGTAGAGGAAGGCGGTGATTGCATCACCGTGTTAGAGGAAAACGGTGAAGGCCTGACCTGCGTCAAATCTTTAAAAAAACGTAACTTTGTGCTCGGTTATCCGATCGCGATGAAATTTTTTTTGATTCCGCATAATTTTTCGAGATCTTGCAAGCCGCAAACCGCCGTAGGTGGTTTGGTCCCGCCTTCGTCCCGAAAAAACGTCGTTTGCTACCCCGAACGAGCTTTTTTTCGATTTCGTCAAACTTTGAACGACCATAACTTTGTGCTCCACAATCCGAAAATCATGAATATTTTTTTTATTTTGCATAACTTTTTGAGGACTACAATTTTTATCATAGACATAATTTCGGAATGTACTTGGATTCCTAAAAAGGAAAGGTAAACTTATTCCCAAAACCCCGTATATCCAAAATAATTCATTTTTTGAAAATTCTCTCCTACTAAAAATTGTAGTCCTCAAAAAGTTATGCAAAATAAAAAAAAAATTCATGATTTTCGGATTGTGGAGCACAAAGTTATGGTCGTTCAAAGTTTGACGAAATCGAAAAAAAGCTCGTTCGGGGTAGCAAACGACGTTTTTACGGGACGAAGGCGGGACCAAACCGCCTACGGCGGTTTGCGGCTTGCAAGATCTCGAAAAATTATGCGGAATCAAAAAAAATTTCATCGCGATCGGATAACCGAGCACAAAGTTACGTTTTTTTAAAGATTTGACGCAGGTCAGGCCTTCACCGTTTTCCTCTAACACGGTGATGCAATCACCGCCTTCCTCTACAGCGGTGATGCAATCACCGTTTTCCTCTAACACGGTGATGCAATCACCGCTCTTCTTTAACGCGGTGATTCAATCACCGCCTTGGTCAAACGCGGTGAAGGCCCAAACATGCGTAGATTGGGAAATATTTTCATAACGTGTGTATTTTGAGAATTTTTTTTAAAAACATGTGTACAATGGGATTTTTTCCTCTTATTCATTTCAACTACAGGGCCACATTGCAGTTGCAGACGCTGCTAGTATCTGTTTCATTTCCCATGTTACCAACTCCCAAGTGTCTTGAATGAAGCCCAAGTCAACCCTCATCCTGAAATTCAGAAGAGGTACAGTAATGTTTCTCAAGTTTCTTTTATTTGTATTTTATTTCAGAATGCGTGAGAAAATGTCCAGAACACGCACCTATTTGCTGCTGTATAGGCAGAGGTGGGAATCCCCACAAAGAAAATTCAAACCATCTGCCGCAGCCATTGACTTTTACAAGTTTGGACTACATCTATAAATATTTACTCAGTCAACCTCCCATCACTTTTTGGATCGTTAAATAGAAACCCGGATCATAATACATGCTTTAGAGCCTGCTCTTCTTCCACTGGATATGATTCCGCGTTGATGCATATCCTTATACACCAATAACGTTGCCAATCCCATTGAGCAAAAGCAAGCTCCAGGGCTCATGGAGATTGAAGAAATGGATTCTGGTGAGAAGCGGCTCAACGAGCTGGGGTACAAACAAGAGCTAAGAAGACAAATGGTAACTTTCTGATGGTCCCTTCGTTTGGTGGTATTCCAATCATATACTTGGTATTTTGCTGCTTTGGGTTTATGTTGTTTTTCTCTGGGTCTTCATTTACTGCAGACTTTGTTCAAAACTCTTGCCATATCATTTTCAACCATGACGCTCTTCACTGGGATCACTCCCTTGTACGGTTCAAGCCTTTTGTATGCAGGCCCTGCAACTCTGGTGTGGGGATGGGTGGTCGTCTCATTCTTCACCTGGTTTGTAGGCATTGCCATGGCTGAGATTTGTTCATCCTTTCCTGTACGTATAAATTATGGCTGTCCCTCCTTAGATAGATATTCATTTCCTTGACTTCCCAATCCTAAGCTAGTGAATGAGCTTAATTCCTTATTTGATTGCCTGACCTGGTGAAACAGACGACTGGTTCTCTTTATTTCTGGGCTGCTCATTTGGCTGGTCCAAGATGGGGACCTTTTGCATCCTGGTGCTGTGCTTGGCTCGAGACCATAGGACTTGTTGCAGGCATAGGTACTCAGGTAAAGTAAACCTGATTTCTGTGCTGCAAGAAGAATGCTATCCCGGATCAATTGTTGAGTTGTGGGAAGTGTTTTTGACAGGCATACGCAGGGTCGCAAACGCTGCAGAGTATCATATTATTATGCACAGGAACAAACAAAGGTGGAGGATACTTTGCTCCTAAATGGCTCTTCTTGTGCATGTACGTGGGTCTCACTCTGATATGGGCTTTCCTCAACACTTTTGCCCTGGAAGTCATTGCCTTTATTGACATCATCTCCATATGGTGGCAGGTAAGTAACAGTTCATTTGAATCTGCCATCCAATGTGAAAAAATATAGTCGGTTTCAGATGTGTTTGTACTATTGATGACAGGTGATTGGCGGATTGGTAATTGTTATACTACTTCCACTGGTGGCAACAACCACACAGTCTGCTTCTTATGTGTTTACGCATTTTGAAGTGGGATCAGAGTCAACTGGAATATCAAGCAAACCTTATGCAGTCGTTCTGTCTTTCCTTGTTAGTCAGTACTCTCTGTACGGATATGATGCAGCAGCCCATCTAACTGAAGAAACCAAAGGCGCTGATAAAAATGGTCCAATAGCAATTCTGTCCAGCATTGGTATCATATCGGTATTTGGATGGGCTTATATCTTGGCTCTCACTTTCAGCATCCAGGTAACTGCTTTTTCCAAGCACCCGTTCTTTTGCTTCTGCTCATATTTTCCAAGCACTAATTATGCCCCTTACTGCTCATCAGGATTTCAGTTACTTGTATGATCCGAGTAATGAGACTGCAGGAGCATTTGTACCGGCGCAAATACTATACGATGCATTCCATGGGAGGTATCAGAACTCTACAGGAGCAATTGTGCTGTTGTTTGTGATTTGGGGTTCATTCTTCTTTGGTGGCCTCTCAATAACTACTAGCGCAGCTAGAGTGGTAACAATCCTTCACTTCATGTACATGCTATGTCTTCTTGGGAGGCAGCATTTGAGTCATGTTTAGGTGTTTTACCCCGTTTATTTATTGTATCCTTCTCTTGGCCCTCCTCAGGTGTATGCTTTATCAAGAGACCAAGGTATCCCATTCTCATCCATATGGCGTAAAATCCATCCGAAGCACAAAGTTCCCTCCAACGCGGTGTGGCTCTGCGCAGCCATCTGCATTCTTCTCGGGCTCCCAATACTGAAAGTGAATGTTGTCTTCACGGCCATAACTTCTATATGCACGATCGGGTGGGTTGGTGGATATGCAGTCCCAATATTTGCAAGAATGGTGATGGATGAGAAGGACTTCAAAGCAGGGCCATTCTACTTGGGGAAAGCTAGAAGGCCCATCTGCTTTGTTGCCTTCACCTGGATTTGCTATACTTGCTGTGTGTTCCTGCTGCCTACTTTGTACCCAATTTCTTGGGACACTTTCAACTATGCACCAGTGGCACTAGGAATTGGTCTAGGTTTAATAATGCTGTGGTGGGTGTTGGATGCTAGGAAATGGTTCAAAGGGCCTGTGAGGAATATTGATCCCCCAAATGGTAAGGTTTGAATTTTTTACTGCAGCTCCAGCTTCATGTTTCCTGTATATTATACAATTGACCCTATAGGAGTGATTTTCATTTCTGTTCTCATTGCTGCTCCAAGCAGTGTGCGTTTATGCTTCTTCAAGTGACCTGAGCCAAGTAATTAGAGAAACTCAAAAAGAGCAACTCTCTTCTGGCTAAAACACTAGCCCTGTCTGTCCTTTCTGGAACACTAGCCTTGTTCCTTAATGAGATTAGTGTTGACTATTAGGCCAAGATAATAATCGTTAATCAAAGCTGAACTCAAGACATAGAAGATTAGATCACTCTGCGTTGATACCACTTGGACATTAATGGAAGCCTGCTCTGCTTTACTATGTATCGTCATGGTGAATTGTCTCGTATATGCAAAATTGAAAATATTGCGTCCTGCCCACTTATATATTACAAAATCGATCAATCATGGTACTACCCAAGATCTACATGGAAGATGCATATATACCGTAATTGGTTACCATAAGAACTTTTAGGGAACCACCTCCGCATCCATCAAATTAGGAAACTGGGGGCGCAAGAGTGTCTCGACTTGTGATTTCACCTCTTGATAGTCCTTCACCCACAAGCAGTAGCTGGAATTCTTTGCCACAACGTCCTTGGAAACCTCCTTCTTCTCAACCAATCCTCTTGCGTACCTCTCAAATCCATCGAGTTTCTCCCATAACTCGGCCGCTTTCCCAGGATCCCTTTCAGTCCTGACACTCTCCAACCATTCTCGGGCCTCCTCCACCCTTGCCCAGAACAATGTGTCCTGTGTCAAGCTTGCAAACTTGCTCCTCATCACCATCATCATCGTATTGCTCTCTTCTTGCCCGTCGATTCCTTCTTTCCACCATCTGTCGAAGATCTGGTACCTCTTCTCCCTTCCACATGTTATGTAGTGTCCCTTGATCCGCTGCATACCAATTCTATAGTATTCAGCTATGTCCAGTGGCTCAACCAGAAGTTTATAGAACTGAGAGGCATTGACCCACTTGGCTCGTTTGTGGAAGTCATGAGGGAGCTGGTTGGTCTCCAACATGGTGATCACATTGTCCCAGAACCGGGCCAGCTTGTGGCGGTTCATGTTCACTTTGGCGTCTCTCCTTGAGGCACCTCTGTGCTTGAAGGAGTCATAGTACCCCATCTGATCATCGCACCTGTCGCAGGATTCTTTGTACCATTCGATTTCAGCCCTGTAAGGTGTTACCTGCGACAGTTTGATAGCTAGATTGGCACAATTTAGGCTTGGTTTTCGCCCCAGTCTCTTGGCAATCTTCAGGCAGTCTTTCGCTGGTCTTGCAATCGGTTCCTGCAAAATGGATAAAAAAGAAAAGAGAAAAGAAGCCATATTGAGATCAACCTTAGTCACACGTAGAGTAGACTTTGTGGATTCCGGTAGAGCAGTGCATTAATGAAGTATACCCGGGAATCGATCCCCGAGGACTGTAAGGCCAGAGCAAGACCAGCATCATAGCTGGATTCAGGAAGCTCGGCTTGCAAGAAGCTTCTGTTGGTCAGGAACTGAGAGCAGACTTTCTCTACCACAACTCCATAGTTTAGATGGCTGTCAATGCTACAACTAGGTGACCCCATCCCAAGGAGCAGATACATCATTCTGACGACAGAAGCTGCATTGTCCACGCAAATGGCTCCACCATCTTGGGAACAGAAGAAATAGTTACCGAAGGGCGAAAACGAACTACCCTTGTTCGCCTTCCTTCCTTCTCCTCCAAACTCCAACAGTGCATGCAGCGAAGCCATGACGTGATTGAAAAGCTTTGCCTTGGCTTCATCTGTGAGTTGCTGCAGACCAAGCGGGGTTGTCGTTTCAAGCTGCGGAGCTGCTGACAAAGAGAGGTGGCAGAAATGGAGCAGGGAGTGGAGCTGGTGAGTGACAGGAGCAAGGTCTGGGACCAAGAGGAGCCTTGGCACGATGTCGTGCCTCGAGACGACATGGCAGAAGTTGCCAGCCCATCTTTGGGCTAGAATGGCTCGAGAGAGTGATTCATTGCCAAGCAGTGGAGACCCAAAGGTGATGCAGAGGACAGATGGGCGGGGAGAGGTGGATTCCAGACAAGAAAGTAGCCAAATTGCACACAGTGATGCTATTGTTCCTCCAATTGAATGCCCTGTCACCACTACGGAGCTGCATTCACGCATTACTTCTGATATCTGTGCATTATTATTGCCCACAAAAGGTATTATTCTCTGGGTTAAGAATTGAGACAAATCAAAGCGGAAGAATTTCAACATTATAGAATAGTGGGCATGAATGATTAACAGGAGTAGGGTAGGCAACTAGGGTGGTCCTGCTGGTCCTACAATTTCCCAAAATCGTAGAACAATCAATCAATACAAATACAAATGGGTAATAATCATTTCCTTTACGAAAAAGAAAAAGATAATCACTTACGCAACTCAGTCAGTCACCTTACCAGTCAACTCCATTAGAGTGTCCGTTACTTCATGGGAAAGGAAGACTCGGTGAAAGCAGCCATATATTGACTTTTTCTTCGTTATTGAAATAATCATGGAGGAGAGTGTGGTTGGAGTGATTGTATAGTTAGGGTTCATTTTTGACACCATGGTAGAGTTATATGATTGATTTGGTGTTGGATGGATTTTGCACCAACACCAGATCTCACGTGTAAAGAATTTGATAAACTGAAAAGAGAGTGCCAAATTAGCAAGGGTTTATGACTATGAATTTTTTTTTTCCGCCTAAATGTGCGGGTCAGAAAATTTGGAAAATTAAATTTCAAGCCTCCAAATTCATAATTTGAATTGTCCCCATTATCCCCAAAAAAATGTTTTATTTGTTAAAAAAAAAATCAATTTCAAGAATAGAAAAGTAAATTTCACTTTCGAATCTATAAATCCAATTTAGCCAAATCAATCATAAAATCATAAAATCCAAAAAATAAGCACAACACAATCAAACAATGTTTCATTGTTCTAACCTACACACAAACGACCCATTAGAACATCTACATCCATCAAATAGCATTTTTATTTCATATGTGGTCCTTACTACCACATTAGCCACTTTTTTCATTTTATTACATATCACTTTCATTTCCTTTGCATCAATGAAATCCATTATCTATTTTATAGTGGGCCCACAAAACAAAAATACACTCTCTCACAACTAGGCTGTTATTGAGCTGAGTCGAGTCGAGCTTTGCCATAGTTCGGGCTCGGCTCGTTAATATATTTCCAGACTCGAGCTCGGCTCGTGTTCGTCACGAGCTTTAATATGCAAGCTCGAGCTCGGCTCGTTTATGAAAATGAAAGCTCGAGCTCGACTCGAGTTCGGCTCGTCAAATAAGTTTAACGAGCCCAAATTCGAGTTCAGCTCATAAAATGTTCATGATAGCTCGAGATTGACCTAGAACTGCGCACAAAATTACATTCAAACCTGTAGCAAAGTCTAGCAAAGTAAAACACAATATTTATCCCAATTTCAATACATAAAATCCATGAATTCTAATCCTTTTTTTATGCCAAACCATTAGATGAGCTTGTTCGCGAGCTTTCGAGCTGAACATGGGGTGGCTCGAGTTCGGCTCGTTTAGTTAACGAGCTTGTTCGCGAGCCGGCTCGATTAAAACGAATCGAGTGTTGAACGAATTTTTCTCGAGTCGCACACCGAGCCGTTCATGAGCGGCTTGGTTTATTAACAGCCCTACTCACAACTCACAAAAATGGAATAGAAATGAAGAAACAAAAAAACAAAATAGCATAAACGTGGGTGGAGCCCACTTTTGCTCTTCCATTTGGTATTTCATTAAGTGGAAAATCCCACCTTATGAAATAGGGGCTCCAACACTTAAATGAGAAACGAAAGTGCCATATAGAATATGAAATAGCATCATGAGTCATGACAGCCGTTGTGGATGCTCTTAGAATTACGCAATAAAATTTTCTTTATGTGTGTATGCATTTAAAAGGATACCATCGAATAAATCATAAATGAGTTGATGGTAAGAAATATCATTCTCATGAAACTAAAAATTTAGGAGTGCGTTTGCTTCGTTTATTTTTAAAACAAATATAAATATTCGATAATGCAAACATTTAATATGGAAGAAATCGAAATGCATACGGACAAAATTGACAAACATTATTACTAGCTAGCGTACTCTGGTTGTGGCTGCAGATCATGCCAAGCCGACACAAAACAAAATGGAAAATGGAAATTAAGCAGGCGGCAGAATGAAGGGAAATGGCGAGAGAGAGCCAAAGAGAAAGAGTGACCTGGGATTGGAAGCGCGTGTCCCGGTATACTGACCAGAAGATCCGCAGCAGCTCACCGCAAACCATAACAGGATCCAATTCTCCCCCTCCGCCGCCTTCCTCCCCTTCTTCCCCACTCTTCCGATCGGAGAAGAGACTCCTTGCCCAGCAACACCCAGCCGCTTCCAGACCAACCAATTTCCCCCATCCCCCGGGCTCCCCCGGCGGCGGCGCGATTCCGCCACCCGAAAACGCCACGTAACCCACCCGGCTGGTCGCCGTCCCACCAATCTCCGCCGCGAATCCGACCTTTTCGCCCTCGCCCCCAACGGCGCCGCGGCTGGCGTTGGCCAGCTGGCAGAGGCGCCACGACTCCGTCAGCAGAGGGGTGGAGGCCAGGAAGTTGGCCGTCATCTCGCTCGTCTCGAACCTGCGACCGGGAGACGATGATGCACAGCACAGATGTGTTAAAGAGGAGTAAAATAGGTCATGGTGGAATTGGCGATAATCGAGAATTAGAAATGGCGGATAAAGAAAGAGCAAGCAATTATTATTATATATAGTTATAGTGACAAATGAATAATTTATTCCGGTGAAGGAGAGAAAGGGAGGGGAAAGAGGGTGCTTACGATGAAGTTTCCTCCATGGAAAATTGGGGAGGAGTGTGAACTTTGAATGAATGCCCTCTGCTTTCTGGAGGGCTAGCTTCCACTTGAAGTTGAAAGCATGGACAGAGGGGAAAGTTGGAGTTGAATTTCTGTGGAAATAAAAGGCAGCCAAGGGGTTAATAGCTTGAATTAAGAAGACCAGAGAAATGGGGTTGTAGTGAAGTGGCAATAATAACCTTTATTTTCTTTATATTTTCCTTGTTATAACAACGATGGGGGGATGGATGGGAATGATGATCATATCTGAAATGGCGACGATTTGGGTGACAAAGATTGTGTAGTGTAATTAAGGATAGGGGTGATGCTTTTCACATTGGAGCAAAACCCATTTTGTTTTGTTCGGTTATAATGATGGGTGTTAGTCATGCGAAGCTAAAAATCATACAGTTTTAGGACTCTAGTGTTGAGACTTGAGATTCATTAGTGGAGGAAAACCAATGTATTCAAACTTCCGATTTTAATCTTAAAATGTTTTGATTTCACGATCTTATTGATGGATTCCGATATTGATTATACTACAAAATCCCATAAAAATCTGATTTAAAAATCTAAAATTCTTAAAATCTATAATTTTGTACAATTTCAAGGTTCATGTCAATTGGGCCAAAATTAGCCCAGTCAGGTCAGGTTTTGCCCATGAACCGGGTCAAATTTACTTCCCCCAACCCAACATAATGAACAACACAACTCTAACTCGATCGGCGACCCTCAACTTATCTTCATGCTCTTCCTCGTATCTGCCTCTTCTGCAAGCCAACGAGCCGACTCTTTCCATCAACGATGTCTTCCACCCTCCTAATTAGCTCGTAATTTTTTCCCACCGCCCTCACGATTATCCAATCTCCATTCCATTGGAAGCTTTCGTTCATCTCTCAATCCTTCAGCACCACTATCCCCGTCCTTTTATCGATTAAGAAGGGAATGCATCAATCAATGAGTTAGTTACCTTTGCCAGATGATGGTGATCAAGAAAATATGGTTAATTGTGAAGATACTTCAAGTGATCCTGAGAATAATGATAGCATTCCTCAAGCAAATAGACAAGGATTCTTCGAGGATAAGAGTGAGAGTGATCATATATGATATCGCGATTGTACATGAATAAATTTATGAATTTAGTTGTGTTTATTTGGCAGACAAACTTATCTTGGTAAGTAATTAGGTTATATGTGGTGATTGTTATTCATTATATGAATTGTTATTACTATCTGGTGTTTTAAATGTTTATTTCAATATGAACCTAAAATCTTACGATTTTACGATTTTAATCTACGATTTCGATTTTACCTTAGTTTTCGATTTTACTTAAAATCACGATTTTGACTGCATTGGGCAAAACCATTTGGAAATATTCAAAAATACCTTCTTAATAAATTGAATAAAAGTGTAAAACACAATAAGTTTGGGATAGAGAAAAGAATAAAAATTCAAAACATGTTGAGGCAATCGATCATTAATTGTGCATGCAAGGTATATTAAGCACCAATGAGAGTCGGTTCGCGGTCTTCCTATTTTGGAATCCGATTTATCAAGCGTATTTTTATTGACATTATTATTGTCCAAATTTATGTGGACGATATTGGTGATCATATATGATATCGCGATGTGTTACGTGTCATTATTGTCTACATGTCATCATTGTCCATTGTTTTAGGCTCTTATGTCGCTTATTGTCCAAGTTTCCGTGTTGTTCATGAAGAATGAAACTTACTCCCCCTACAAGTCGGCTCTCTCTTTTCTCTAGGTTTCGAGTTCTCTTCTACATAAATCTTGCTTCGATCATTGTCCAACCAAGCAACAGCGTCACATCAATCCAGAATAATCATCAGTCGTGAGCTCCGAGCTCACCATGGATTAGTCTCGTTCATTCTAACGAGGATACAACGTAAAACTTCGTGTTGTCATGTTCCCTATTTTCCGCTATATCAGAATTCTTCATGGTATCAGAGCTGGCTTAAAATCCACCCCTCTTTCGGTCTTTTTCCACTCAATCGATAGTCATGAGCGATGAAGAAAAGGTTTAAGCGGAGATGAAGCTCGATCCGCCGTCGCAGTCACAAGATAGCCCAGGTCCTTACTCGCCATACTATCTTCACCCTTCCAATCACCCCGACCAAACCTTTGCCGCCGACGAGTTGACATAACTCAATTGCGGCGAGTGGACTTCTGATATGAAAACAACCCTACTGGCCAAAAACAATATATATAATCTTCATCAATGGGACTCTTCAACGTCCGACTTTGGGATGACAGCTGGATGCTTGGGATCGTTGTAACGCAATGGTAATGGGCTGGCTGAAAAACTCGATGAGTTGAAATGTCCTAGTCAGCATGCGTTATGCGGAGACTTCCCACCATATTTGGATGGACTTAAAGGAGCGATTTAGCACGTGTAGCTTTCCTTGGTTATGCCAGCTGCGACGTACAATTGCCCTTCTTCATCAAGAGAAGGCTAGCGTCTCCGGTTTTTATACAAAGTTGCGTAGCTTATGGGATGAGATTCATGCCATAGCACCGCCGCCAAAATGTGCTTGTGGTGGGGTATGTTTATGACTGTAAATGAGCCGAGTCGAGTCGAGTTTTACCCTAGTTTGAGCTCGGCTCGTTAATAAACGAGCCAAGTCGAGTCTAGTTCGAGCTAACTTGCTTAATAAAATCTTGACTAGTATTTGATATATATTCATTTTATATGTCTTATATGTCATACATGATACATGTGATTAATATCAAGATTAAAATAATAATAATAATAATAATAATAATAATAATAAAAGTTAAGTGTTCAATATTAACTAAACTCATTTTACACTTTGTTGTATCGAACTATTTAGTTCATAAATTTTAACTAGTGAAATTATATGATTTCATAGTATCGAAGCAATCTATGATATATAATTGATATTTAAAATTAAATAAGATATATTTGCTCATCTACGTGTTAAACTTCATATAGGGTGAGATATATAATTTAACAATCATATGAATTATCAAAATCAAACTCATATAGATCAATTTGTTCATAAATCGATAATTGAGTTGGCTCTCTAGCCACAATGTTGAGAGTTGATACATCTTATTAGCTCTAAACGAGCTAGCTCACGAGTTGAGCTCAACAAGCCCCCGAGTCGAGTTAGCTCGCGAGCTCCGTTCTAGTGACAACATTCCCACTTTTATTATCACTTCCGGTACTGGCAGGGGCAATTACCATGTTATTAACCGATCAAAACTTTAATACAACCTTTTCTGATCCCGCTGGAGGGGGAGACCCCATGCGAGCTGCAGAAAGCGAAGCTCAAGCTCGACTCATTAGTAAACGAGCCGAGTTTCGAACGAGCTTCTCTCGAGTCGAGCATCAAGCCACTCGCGAGCAGTTTGGCTCATTTGTAGCCCTAGATATGTTTGCGAAATTGAGAAGAAGATGCGTGATACACAAGACAGTGGGCACATTTTCGATTTCCTCATAGAGCTCGACGATGTATTCACCACCGCACGAACCCAAGTCCCCTCTATGAAGCCTACTCCGACTCTAAGCGAGGCTTTTCAGATGATTATCAATTATGAATAACAGCTGAGTATCACAAATACTTGACGTCCCAGTGTCGACGCAGCAGCTCTTCAAGCTCAGGGTGATCGTGGACTTTCCATTAAAGGAGATTCTTCAGATCAAGCGAATCGTATAGCTGACGGTCGCCCATGTCCCTCTCTCTAATCACTCTTGGATTATCGATTTAGGCTATAATGAGCATATAGTTAAAGATATGTATGTTTTGTCAGGTGAGTTGGAAATTGGAGAGAACTTGCAGGTTCAAATTCCTAATGGCCAGGGAATTCCGGTTAATGGCATTGGTAAATCAAAATTGGACAATGTATTTATTCTAAATAGAGTTCTACACGTCTCAGGGTTTCAGTGCAACTTATTATCTGTTAGTCGTCTCACGGCCGATATTCCGGTCGCTTTGATTTTCATCTATGATATTTGTATGGTTCATGACTTACCTTCCAATAAGCCGATTCAAAAAATAAATTTTTTATTCCGTGCTCGGTGACGTGGCAGGTGAGCTGGTTATTGACTAACGGTCAACTCTGTTGACCTGACCAATTTAACGATAAAATCCATATCTGGGTCAAGTTAGGAAGAATGGTACATAGTTCAGACCAGGATAGCAATTTCGGAAACCACGGACCAAAGTTGTAAGTTTTAGGTATAATCATGTTGGATGTACGGGGATGGGTATTACCCATGGGTACCCGAAACCCACGGGTAAGGGGATGGGTTTGCAAAACATTTCCCCGCATGGGTATGGGGCGGGTATGTATTTGGGTATTTGAAGATGAGGATGGAGATGGTTTAGGCAAACTAGCCCCAAACCCGCCCCATTGCCATCCCTACTTAGGCCTGATGCTAAGTCAGATACTCTGGACTTATGGTCATTGACTTTGCATTGAAGTTCATCTGTCTTGCTTTAGCTGTGTTCGTGAGCCAAAAGTGTTCCTAGTGAATGTTGTTGGGAAATGCCATTGAAAGCTCCGAGCTACTAGTTTCGAACTTGAGTCCGCGAGAAAAACGGTCCACACATACCCATCGAATAGACGGGCTATAAGGTTAGCGGGTGGATATTACACAGCGTCGTTTTACATTTTGCTTTGTAAAATGCTCCTCTTTTTTGGTTTTCCTCTTTTCCTAACCCTATCTTTGGATTCTAAATTGAACATTTGAATATTAATGTTGATATAAAGTATGATATGTTGGATTCAAGTACGATATGTTATTTTGGTATAAGTTATATATTATTATTCTTAGATGATATTTGATATACTTTATAAATGTATAAACAATATAATTACTATTTTCATATATCTTAACTAAACTGAACTAAAACAATCGGACCATTAACGCTCAACTCACTTAGACAACCTTGCTCCGAACACGGGATACCAAGTTGAGAGATTTCTAGAGAGAGAGACGAGCATTATTGGGCTTATAATCTTTGGCTTTCATATCAGGACCTACTTAGAAGTGTTATGTATTGCCAACGCTAGACCTGGCAATCGGGTCGGGTTGGGTAAGTTCGGGTTGGGGACTTCGGTTACGGGTCGGGTCATGTTTGGTTGGCTGATTTCAGGTCAAATATTGACCCAACCAATTCGGTTTCCGGTCGGGTTACGAGCGTTCTCATAAACAATATCAAACATGCTTCATATTTTCTTAAAGAATACAAATTTTCACATATGCGTGACAATAGTTTACCTAACACATGTCAATTAACATATTCTCAAATCCTCCCACGCTAATGAAATGAAATATAAATTGCGCAAATCTTCAAAAAACAATCACAAGAGTAATACTACTACAAGCATGATATTTGATTATCCTTAAACTCCAAACATGTCATTCAAATCCTTGTAATTTTTTTAAACATCTCACCAATTTATGAGTGATTTTATCATATTTTGGGAGTGATATATGAAATGGAACGGATCTAACGGGTCGACTCGCTAACCCACCCAACCCGATCCAAAAAATCACAGGTTATCGAGTTCGGGTCATTCGGATTTCGGGTTATAAAAATTTCTAGTTTTCGGGTGATTTCGAGTCGGGTCAACGGGTCGGGTTATAATTTTCCACGTCTAGCCAACGCACCAACAGACAATAGTGGCGCGTTAAGGACGACAACATCCTTACCACCTAAACACTTCCTAAAATGATGAAAACTAAAAATGATTTCCTTCTTTCACTGATCACAAAATGCCAAAAGGGATACCTTCAAATGATACCTGCATATATATCTCCTTATGCATGATATGAATCTCTACTCATGTAGGAAGAATCTACCAATATATAGAGATGTTATAGGCTATGAGAACGTGAGTGCAACATGTAATCCATGTTCAAGTAGATTCATACGATGACAAAGAACTACTACGTCCATCCCGAGTACAGATCTCTTGAGAAGAGAAACACAGCATTCAAAACCAGCGTTGTATGTAACAAGCCTTTGCCTGCTACACTCTGAGTAGGGCGATAGAGCTGCAACTAAGACAACTCCACTTGAACGTCAGACGCGTATCCGCTTCACATCATTCTCTGGAACACTTACTTCATTCCCGTTACCCCCCATCGAGCTCTCTGCTTGACCCTGGAAAATCATCCATTCATCACAAGACATGGTCAAAACAAACTGAGGTATTTGTTTTTATGAAAAATTCTTTTGACCGCCATCCATGAAGAACCTTTATCCTCTCAACCCGGCTATGGTGGATGTTCTCATCCCACATTACTACCGCTAGGCTTTCTTCCTCAATCCTATTATACAATGTATCCTAAGGTAAATATGTGTCCTTTCATCCCAACTACTACCAAGTGCACTCAAGTGTATTAGGCCTCCCAAGATGTAGATAAGCGACCACGTAACATGTGATGGGAATAGGCTCCAAATATTCTTCCTAGGTCAGGCAGGCATTGGTAACGGCCCTATTGGCAACCTCTTAGACAATGAAAAACAAGAAGCATGGAACTTACTGCTTCCCCAGGAACAACTGCATATCTATCTGATGGTGAGACCCAGGTTTTGCCTGCCACGGTGAAAGAGTAGGAAATATCCTATCAATTAACAAAGCAACAGAACTCCAACGAGACATAAATACAGCAGAAAGAATCCGGGCACCTGATGATGGATCAACTAGAGATGATGGCAACTGCTGACCGCCAGATCCATCAGCGCTTAGAGCTTCAATCAATTTTGGTAAATTTCTGTTCAGAGGCATATAAAACAGTTAGTGCACTATGATGGAATGCCAGACAAACGCTTCTTTAAGATTTAAGTATATGGCCACATGTCACCTAAACAATACCTGTCAATTGACTCTCCATGACCAAGCTGTCCATTAGTCCCTCTTCCCCAAGAAAAAACATTTTGCTGATCAGTAACAGCAAGTGTATGCCTCCATCCACATGCAATCTGAACTACTTTCTGCCAACCAGACAAATATAACATAAACCACACGCATCAGACTGTCACCAAAGTGATCATTCATATATATATATGAAAGCACTCATTTGCTCAAAGTACAACACTCTCCGAAAATATACGAAAATCTTAATCCCAACAGACAGGATTTTGGCAATAATGAGAGACCAAAAGTCTGAAGAATGAACCTGATCACGGGGGAACTTTAATTGTGCAGGAGAGCAGTGGTCAGCATTATCACCAACTCCGACCTGTCCAAACTGTAAAGAGGACACCATAACTAGTTGCATTGCATCCTTCCAGCATTGGTATATAAAAACTAAATAAAGGATACGTTATGAGTAATGCACCCATACAGTAAATAATCGATGATAACTGCCCTAAAATCCTTGTATGTGAAACCTCTTTTTTGTAACAGGCAGCAGAATATTCTCTTTACTTCAACTACCTCTCAGGCCCTGATTTATAGTATTGTTGCATCAGGCAGGATGTGTACTGATACTGTTCTGTCATCTTCCCAGATCCCGGTCCACAATGAAATACCAACCTAACTCGAGAACTGGTTTACTGTACAAACAGACACTAGAACAATAAGAAATTGCTAACCTTATTCCATCCCCAGCCATATAACTTTCCATCCGATGTCACAGCCATGGTATGTCTCCAGCCACCTGATATCTGCAAAAGTCAGACCAAGACACATTGAAAAATTGAGCAATGAAGTAAAAGATAAACCAATCTTGCCTGGAAAAGAAAATTAAATGGGAAAATTTTGGAATCAGTGTCCAAGACCAGTAAAGACTAATTGAAGGCGTTCCTTGCGGATTTCTGATTTCAGGATATGAGGTAGAAGTACAGCTAACAGCTGGGCAAACTCTAAAGGACACCTGAATCATTTCCCCTCAGTCTGATTGTAATGAAGAAAAAGAAACAGGGGCACCTGACTTTCACAAGGCCTTCTCCCGATCAAATTCCCAGTACCTGAGTTATAGAACTCTCTTTCAGAGCTTCTAGTTTATGAGGAGTGAGATGGTCCTCGAAGTCTCCATGACCTAGTTGACCATATTTGCTCCACCCGTAGCTGTACAAACCACCAGAAGAAGATACAGATATCGTATGCCGCCATCCACAAGCAACAATTACCATCTTCTCTTCCTGCAACTTTAAGTTGAATTAACCAAACTGGTACTGAGCAAGGGGCAGAGCATTAACTATCATTAAAGTTCCAAGAGAAGAAAATGATTTCGTTGCTATCATATATGTAGGAGTACCACCGTGGAATGACAAACCAAAAAGATGAGGACACTCAGAGCAAAAGACTTAACCCATTTAGTTCTGCTCGGCCTCCATCAAGATTAATGCATATTAGTAAAGTATATTTGTTGGAGTAAGCCACAGAAGACATTTTTTAAAGTCAGGTTTCAACCTTTAGCTGTGAAGCCAAACTCTAACTAGATGATATATCAGCCTCAAGGTTTTGGAAGGATTAGCATAGAGAATACAGAATCAGACAAAGAAAAAGTTAAATGAAGTGAAGATACCACTTTGTTGACATACATTAGCTAGAGAAACTTTCTCAGGAACTAAGCGATCATTTCTATCACCTAGGCCCAAGTTCCCATATCGACCCCAGCCCCATCCATAGAGTTCTCCATCTTCTGTGATAGCTGCAGTATGCTCAGCACCAGCAGCAACCATTTTAATTGGGATTCCCTACGAACATGAGCATCAAAGAACAATCATTATGCTGCTAGAATGAATCAGAAGGACATACTTCAATTTATACAAGGTGCTGATCTAGGTAACATCCAAGTCAGATCACATCAAGGTTAAAAAATAAGAAAATAAGACTTGACTGCGCCAACAACTGAACAGGACAGCCTATTTCATAAGTGATCAAGATGCACACCAAACTCAGGCTATTCCCAGATGCTGGGACAAAAATTCTCCTCAAAAGAAGATACTGTCAATGCATAAGTTGCTGATGTTCATACAGCATAAACTACCTGAAAAGCTTGAATTTTGTGAGGCACGAGAGCATCTTCCATGGTTCCTAGACCAAGCTGACCATTTTGATTCCTTCCCCAGCTTCATAGGTTAAGGGAAAGCTCATCAATCAGAATGTTGTCCCACACATAAAAAGCTAACTGAGAGCTGCTCAAATATGTTAGATACACCCAAAAACTGATGTGGATCACTAAGTTCCAAGCTCACAAGAACAGATGAATAGAAAGATATACGAGTTCTTAATATTAATAATTAGATCGTCCAATGCAGCCCTCAAAAGTTAGCATGAGATTGATCAAATGTTCTCGGCAAGGAACCAATTTACAAGGGTATCACAGCTACAAACCGTCATTGTGTTCAGAGAAAATGAAAGGGTTTGTACAATTAACAGTATGTGGAACAAGTGATTACACTGAAACATCATTACACCAAGCCTTCAAAAAGGACAAACAGTTTTTACCTTTGTACCTCGCCGTCCATTGTAACTGCCAAACAATGGCTGTCCCCGCAAGCAATTTGCCTGATCTTAAGACTGTGCAATGCTTTGATGGGCTGAGGGATGAACAGATCACTAGAATTACCATGACCCAACCGGCCAAAATCTCCCCTAGAAGAAGAAAATAAGCATGAGCAACAGAGCAAGCCACTCTCGGACAGTCAGTCACACAATGCACACAAGCAATGCCATGAAATGAAGTGGGCAGCAAGGCAGAGAAGTCAACGAACCATCCCCAACTGTAGACCTCGGAGGTCAAATCGGAGTAGGCAGTGGTATGATCAGCACCGCAAGTGACGGAAGCAATCTGGTGCCCGTCCAAGCGGCTGAGTTGCGTGGGGGAGAGTCGATCTTCAGCATCCCCATGACCCAACTGTCCATCCTCGCCTCTTCCCCAGGAGCAAACCACATTCCCAGCTGCAACCAAGACAAACATCACGATTATAAACGAACGGACAGAACGATCGACACAACCAGGGTACCTCAACGGGAGGGGGGAAATGAAGGGGACCAGCATGTTGAATCCATTTCTAAATCCAAAGAGTAGGAGGAGACACTCACAGAGGAGGGCGACGGAGTGACTGGCGCCGGCGGAGATGAGAAGAACGCGGTGGTGATGCACTGGCGGGGATGTGAATTCAGTGGATCCCTCTACCCCCATCATTTTCCTTTCCCTCCACTCGGTGTGCTTGGACTGAAAGAGAGGATGGGTGAAGAAGACAAAAGGGAGAGAGTACGAGAAAAACTGGGATAGGCGGTGGAGCGAACTGGGAAGGAAAAGCCCAAGCAGAGGAGAGGGGAGTAGGACAGTTTGGTGGAGAAAGGTCATGGAAAAACAACAGGCATTAATGGTGGTCGGTCCCCCACTCACTCACTACTACTATGGCACCATTGATTTTGATTTGATTGGGTTTCGGGAGATACAAGAAGCGAGATAGCCTTTTAGCTTTAGCATTGAAAAAATTTTGTGAACAAAACGTTATGGAGCTAATCGAAGTGTTTATCAGATTCTTGATGCACAGACAACAGATTAATAAAGGAGGGAGATTTGAATCATTTTATGCTTAACGAGACTGCTTATGGGGTTAGGCGTAGGGATGGCAATCAAACCTATGGTCGTGGGTACCCGACCGCCCCATACCCAGTCAACGCGGGGAATCCCCGTTTTGACCGGGTATGGGGCGGGTATGGGTAAAACCCGCAAAAGGGTTGATGGGTATGGGGCGGGTATGGTTTTAGCCTTCCCCGCCCCATACCCATACCCATACCCGCCCCACCAAGAGAATTTCTTCACATATCAAAAAATACGTGGATTAAATTGTAATCTATCAATGATGATGATGATAACTCGAGAAAATAAATAGTAGAAATGCAATTGAGTAACCACCTTAATCAAAACCTAATTCATTTCCCTCAATTCTCCTTCCACTCTTTCACTTTCCCCCTTGTCACAAAATTATGTTAGTTAATTATTACTTAGTAAATGTATCAAGAGTTAGAGCATAATAATTTAAAAAATATGATAGTCTATATTATGTATTAATGGATGTTTTAGAATCATATTCTTTGAATCGTATTTAGAAAATGACTGTGTTTTGTTGACTTCGTGATATAATAGGTTTGTTTATGGTTATAATTAAAACTTTTCTTGTAAGTTTTAGGTATAATAATGTTGGATGTACGGGGATGGGTATTACCCATGGGTACCCGAAACCCACGGGTATGGGGATGGGTTTGCAAAACATTCCTCTGCATGGGTATGGGGCGGGTATGGGTTTGGGTATTTGAAGATGGAGATGGGGATGGTTTAGGCAAACCCGCCCCAAACCCGCCCCATTGCCATCCCTAGTTAGGCGTTTATGGGTTATGTTATAATAATAAAATATTTGTAATGTTACAAAATTAAATATGGATGGTTGAGATTTGAGTGATCTAATGGTTAGCAAAGGGATAAAAAAAGGGAAATAGGGGTTTGAGTTAGGTAACCAGAGCGTGGAGCGAGAGCGGGAGCGAGAGCGTCAAATCGTGTGTCTTTCAAGAATTCAATACTGTGAGCGTGAACAGAGCGTCAACATTATATTATTTAATTAATAAACAATATTATTGCAACTGAATCCTACACATTAAAGTTTATACGATTTGTGCATATTCACTAAAAAAAATCCTAATATGTTTACAACACTACTAATTCCAATAAATTATTTACTCCCTAATTTTTGGCATAATTTATTTCCAGTTTTCCGTTAACTACGATTACTTCACAGGAAAAATAATTTAGAATCAATATTATATTATCTATCTATCTATATCTATCTATCTATCTATCTATCTATCTATCTATCTATACTATGTATTATGATAATTCAAAAGTAACTTCTTGCCACATAAGCACTTGGAGAATTCACAAGTTGCCAAGGTGGACAACTTTTTTTGCAAACAAAAAATTCATTATTTATCTATTTATGAAGCTATCTCTCTCTTCTTTTAATATTTCTACTCATTTTTACTAAAAATTAATAATAAATGAACCTGTCTGAAAATGGCTATGCCAAAACTGACCAAAAGGTTATGCCAAAACTGGGAAACTGCCTGAAAATGGCTAAGTCTGGCAATATGTTTGTCAAGCCTACTTTGGAGCTCAATTTGAGAAGCATGGATGCGAGTCAAGTCCAGGGGCCTCTACCACGTTAAATTACGTATTTTTTTATACAAAGGCAAGGCATTGGATGAAAGATTGAATATCTTTAAGGCTTCAAACAAAAGGCTCGAAGTTGCTACGAAAGTTGTTTTTCTGGCAGCTTGCTTGTGCTCGAAGTCTGCCAGAAAAACAGCCTTCGTAGCAACTTCCACCCTTTTGTTTGAAGCCTTACAGATATCCAATCTTTCATCCAATGCCTTGAATTTGTATAAAAACGTACCTAATTTAACGTGGTAGAGGCTCCTGGACTCGACTCGCATTCATGCTTCTCGAATTGAGCTCCAAAATAAGCTTCACAAACACGTTTCCAGACTTAGCCATTTCCAGGCAGTTTCCCAGTTTTGGCATAGCCTTTTGATGAGGTTCAAAAATGGTCTTCTGGACTTCCTATCGAGCTCTCAATCACTTCAATATGTAGAGGGACACTCCAGCTTCAAAACAAGTCATTAGTCTTCAATTTCCATCTAGCCAATTGTATGATATGAATATCAAAAGTAGGCACCATGAACTGTTTTTACACTGAAACAACAGATTAGGTCGACCTGATCCTATATGAGGTCGACCGAATCCTAAATGAGGTCGACCAGATCCTATATGAGGTCGACCGAATTCTAAATGAGGTCGACCTAATCCTAACTGAGGTCGACCGGAAAGTGCAAGTCACCGTGACATGCATGTCACCGTAGGCACACCCTAAATCTTATCAAGTAAATTTTCTTACTCATTTTCACCAAAACTTAATAATAAGTTACATTTTGAAAAAAAATTAAAAAAGTACACATATATAATAAAATTTGTATCAATTAAACAAAATATTAAATAGAAATATTGAAAACAAATGATTAAAAAAAATACACATATTTAATAATATTTGTATCAATTAAACAAAATATTATAATAGAAACATTGAAAACAAATGATTAAAAAAGTACACATATAATAATATTTTATCAATCGACTTTGAAAATGATATATATTAATTTAGATTTTTTTGTATTAACAACTCTCTTATTTCTAATGTATTTTTTTTCGTCGAATTATTTCTAATATATATTTATATCAAATAAAAAATGTCTTATATAGCAAAAGGACTGAATATAAACTTGATTAAGCAATAATAGTTCTTTCTTTAAAAAACTTCTTATTCATCATGATTAAGTGAAAACATATATTCATGTTCTACCTTCAGTTTCTCAAATTAAGAGTAATCAGGTGGGCAATAATTTATAATTTGTCCTAGAGTTTATATTAAAATATTCACTCTAGATCATATTAATTGAACGATCTCTATGGAGGTCATAAGTCGAATGCTAAGTAATTTCTTTTCAGATTTGGAGTTATTGTCGAGCATTATTACATCAAAGTTTTCAAAATGACTTAAGTATGATTTTTGACGAGTTTTGACTTCATACCTAGGATGAGACACAACATCACTTAATAAAAACAGGTGTAAAGGTTAGAAAATCTTCGTTGAGGATATACGATAAACATCATGTTTCATCAACCACTAACCTTAGTATTGATCAAATAAAGGTTGAAAAAGTTTATTTAATAGTTGATGTCTTGGTAGACAAATCTAAATTCGAGGATTGAGGCAATAAATAAATATAAGTGTGTTAGTTGAGATATCTAAACAAATTTTTTTTGTAGCTACAAGAATCTAAATTGAGGTATTGTGTTAAAATAAAGAATCTTTAATAAGGATGAGTTTAGTAAGGCAATTGTAATAAAAAAATTGGGGTCGTTTGCTTCGTGGATTTGAAAACTGAAAGTTTTAATAAAACTTGGATTTTGTAAAAGCATGGATATATGAGGGTTTTTGGTTCATTATGGATTTGAAAATACCATATTTCGTTTCATAGATTTCATGATGCATTTGGTTAATTGAATTTGTATGTTGGAAGTGAAAATAACATATATTACCCTCATTGGTATGAGAAGGGAAATGAATTATGAGGGGTAGGTTGGTCATAAATAATAGACTTCAAAGTCCATGATCAATTTCCATCTAAAGAGGTGAAATTTTCAAGTCCTTGGGGCCCACGAATTTGGAACCTTAAAATACATGAAACCCACATATTTGTTGCCTCTAAATACATGACGCAAGCAATGGTTGGGCAAAGTTCACGATAACTCCAAATTCATCAAGCAAACAACCCCAGCTATATTGTTGTGAGTTTGTGACTCCATAACAAATTTTGGCAATAATAAAAACTTTTTCAATATCGAAGTCTCAAATAGAAATCTTTTGGTTTGTAAAAGTAAGCAATTTGTATTTAGATCGAGTTATCCTAGCCACAAAATTTCATTTTCATATTTCAGTCGATGAGCCGAGTTCAAAGGTATTAATCAGGGTTAAAAATTAAAATAAAATCATTATACATATTCTTAGATATTAATAGATATGTCTACAATACATTCAAGAATTCAAATGTATGTAAAATGTCACCATGTTTCTACGAGTTATTACATTTTATATAAAAAAAATTCCAAGAAATCATAAATAATCATTACTTAATATTGTAGGAATCTAAAACTAATTTAGTGCCACATCGGTACATGGCTAGCTCTCACCCTTCGACGGTGGACAAGGTCTAATTGGTGTGCTTTTTTGCTTACTCTTTAAATTGTCATCATTATCAATAAAAAGTAAATTAAGTTAATAAAAATGAATGCAACATTCTGGTTTGTTCCTATTCCTTTTCCCATACAACATTGAAAATAAAACACAACATTGATAATAAAGAAACTAGATCAAGCCCCACAAAAAAAAAACTCTCTTCTTATTTGCTTAAATTTTGAGTTTCTAGAATTTGTCTTCTCTACTTTTTTGTATATAGATATAGGAAAGGAAATGGTAAGGCATATTGAGTTTTTTTTTCTCTTCGTAGGAGAATAGGATGCGGGAGTTAAATGATGCAATGATTTGTTGGGAAAGAATTGAACAACTCTAACATATTTTTGCCTATTGACGAAGAAAAGTCCAACCTATCATTTCTCCCTCTTCCCTTTTGATCCGCAGCGGGCAATTGATCTTTCTTCCTCGGAGATATCTGACTGCTAGCGGTTGACTGGCCAAGTTATAGTTTTCTTCCCATTCTTTTCTTAATTTCTTCCACATTACGCCGGCTGGATAGTAAATTTCCTTTTCGATTCAATGGTTGTATTTCTTCTTCGTTATTTTGGTAGTTGTTTTATGGTTCTCTGTTATCCTGTATACTTTGATGTAAACATGTAACATATAATTCAA